ACTGGTGAAGGGCAAAGGGAAGGATGTGGAAGCACTCTTTGAAGTAATACTGCTGCAATGAAGTACTGACTAGCCTGGGAATAACAGCAGTAAAGGCAAGCAGTGGAAAGCTTTGAAGCCAGCACTCTATGCTTCCTCTGTTGCTCAGCAGGAGCCAGAAGGACAGTCCTAGCTCGTCATGACCAGTGTTGAAGTGATACAGCAGTGGCTTGTCCACAGACAATGGTTGTTGTATTGCGTAAGCGTAATTACATGTGCAGGTGACAGTGCGGTGACTGGGCCGACAGCACCAAAAGTCACGCGAGTTCAGAAACTCGGTGAGTTTCAAAACCCAGGTGTTACTGAACAGGGCCTAAGACTTGTGCAAATGAGTCTCTGTGCTCGCAGCACTGACTGCCATCATGAGATGACATGAAGCATCAACAGCCTGAGCATGAGCCTGATAAGACTGGTGTGGCACTCACAGAAGACGATTTTATTGAGCTACAATGTAAGTACAGCAAGACTCTAGCCTGCACACGGTCACCTGGACCTAACTAACGAGACCCCAGTCTTCAGAAGCAGTTGTTGGTATGGCTTCGACTGCACTGTCTGCAGAGAACTAAGCATGTCACTTCAGAAAGCTCTTCACCATGAAGCAAGCGCACGTCACACGAGACGAGTACACGAGCTCGACGGCTGTGTTGCAAGTGATCTATTTGAACCTGTGCCTTCCCATGTCCCGAATGTGTCGAACGCGTCTCATGACGGGTGGGTTAAGTATGTGTCCCGTGGTGTTATAACTTTGATACACTGCTGACATCTTGGATGGATAGGTGGCGAGAAGATATGATAGCTCAGGACGAGAGGGATTTCCCTAAAGGTAATCTAGGTGGTGGTTACCTTGAGGACAACGACGATAGCATTCCAGCCCTGTTTATGAGGGGCGAAGGTACCAGGGAGCCTGACGATGAGCTTTTCTCTGCCCTGTAGCCTGTTACTCCGGCATCTATTGCAGCTTACTACCCAAGTTGAGATCATACATATGTTCTAATGTAGTCTCCTGCCATTTATTGTGGACTTCTAAGTACGGAATGCAACTCGAACGGGCCTGAGGCTCAGTGGGCGCCAAACTGTGGTGTGGAGATCTCGGATCGGGCGTATTTTGCATTGGACAGAATCATGATTTTGGTCAGATGAATCTCAGACAAAAACCAATGCTCAAAGATCATGATACCCTGAATCATAAAATCCACCAGATCTTGAGCTCCACAGTTTCATCCGTACAGCTGTGTACTGAAGAAGTGATGCGGAACGAGGGTAAGACTATACTGCAGCGATACAACCAACAGTTCAGGCCCTGTGACCCGTGACACTTGAAACCTGGTCAGTTCAGAGTTCAGAGACCTTTCGTGACCGTGACCTCGATTCGGTGACCCAACCGTGAATAAGGCAGGTGCAGGCCACGTCGGGCAAGGCTGCCATTGGGAGCACATGTGTGTTAGGCCGAACTCTTGGGCTTAAGAAGGGTTCTCGCACCTTCACCCGCACGAGGACGAAGTGGTATATCCAGATATCTGTGAGTGCCGGGACTACTGCCTCAATGCAAGCATTACCCCATGTATATTTCCAAGGAGCACGTTCTAACAGTGTACCTCCCTCTGGATATTCTTGTGCAGTGGATGACACATTGGTTTCAAGTTCCCTTGCCAAGGCCATCCTAGATGTTGACTGGCCTGATAACACGGACCGTGCACACGAAACTGACGAGGGGAGGATATTTCTTGCAATATATGTAGTTCTGGTTGAGTAGTTCATGGGCTAATTGCGTGCTCCAAAGACAACACTGAGCTTGTGTGACAATCAAAATTCGGAAAAAAAAGCCAAATATATTGAAAAGTGTCCAAGTCACGCTGATTCGCAGCCGGTTCATCACACAGGGCTAATTAGTAAATATTTTTAGCTGAAAGAGGTATAAAAATGACCATTGAAAGAAGCTAAAAAGCCTGAACACTTTCTGGCAAAAATATATGATAGGTAAAATCTGAAAATAAGAGTAAAATAAAGTCGCCTTTTTTCAGTCAATCTTGTTGTAAAAAGTTGGTCAGCTCACAGCAAAAAGAGGTGCAAATACCGCTGGGCTATCTATATTTAGAGTAATACACATGGAGAAAGAAATGATGATGATTTGCCCTAAGGATATTTCGACTCTTCTAATACCCCAAAAGGTGTAAAAGCAGTGTATCTTTTTGTACCACTAAAATGATAACATCTCCATGGGTGAATTGCTCAAGTGTATTTATGAAACGAACTGAATGTGCTTTTGCACCTCTATCCGCGCAAAATAGTATAAAATTAGCCCCGTGTCAGCTTATCGTGACCGTGGCCACCTGTTCAACCTCGGCCTGTTCAGAGGCTCCGTGACCGTGACCTGAACTTTTGGTCATATCGCTATGGTATACTTTGTGAGCTGAAACAAGTAAGATAGACCCAGTTCAATTCCAACTACATCACGTGAGTGAGCACTGTCACGCTGTGTCTCTTTTCACAGGAGCAAAACTTGAGTTAATCCATAACTTTGTGTGCATGCGGCAGCTCAAAAATTTACAACTGACATCTTGTAGTGAACACATTGAACTACTACTTGACCATTGTCAATTGTTTTTAATTGAGTAGAATACAGTTTTATGGAGTGTACAAGAACCAAAGTCAGCATTAAACATCAGGGAAACTGAACATTGTTGTGGACCACTACGAAGTCTACGTACAAGGTGTAGTGTGATAGTCTAGTCCCTGCCTCGTAGTTATTCATACATCAGTTAATAAGCGCCGTACTAATTCGAGATGGTGTGTACTTCAGTTAGATGCTTGTGTACTTCTGCAGTACCTACTGTGCATATATTGGTAGATAGCTCAGACATTTTAAATAGCACACTGTACATATGATATGACAAACACTAAAAAAATGAGATTAACGCTATTAAACCACAATGGTGAGCCACCGTGACTATAGTAAACACAGGTGCTTCTAGTAACAGCTACCGCGCCGCATATTAAGTGTCTGAGCAGCAGGCGTGCATAACAGTGACAATATGTATCCACAAGCCTAGTCTGAAGCCTTCCTCTCCGCCATCAATCAACAGAATACACGGTACCCCCTGCAGCACATAGAGGAGACCATTGGAATACATAGGCAGAAGCACTTACAGCTGAGACACTGTCGCACAAATAGGAGTGATGGCGGCAGGGAATATGGTGCCAATGTCAATGGTCCCAGCAGTGGTCGCATCTCTATGAGCCATATGAAGGCAGCGGTAAGTGTTACCGGCGCTGACCTATAACAAAGAGAACAGCGCACCAATAAGTAAGTGTGCCATAAAAATAGGTCAAACAGCTCACTTTTTAGCCCTCGGGGTGTGCAACAGCACTTGATACTACACTGCTGTCATGTCATGTTATAGATTAGATGTCAGTACACGCAGGACTATGTTCATGACAGCCAGAAATCTTCAGCGTTCAATTTTCAAGTGCATTCTCATGGTCATGCATTCGCAGCCATAAGTCTAGATACCTTATTGGTCAAAAGGTCAGTACAAAGAGCCCGACATAAATGAGAACGCATGAGACACACTGTTGCAGCTTCATCTGTTCATTTCTGAGCTTGCCAACCTCCTGTATGACTTGTAAGGCTTAGCAGCGCCAGCTCCCACGGCGACCACTGTCTTACAATACCAAAGACCTTGTACTCACATTTCCAGCAGACACCAACCTAAGTTATAACCGGCTATTGATATAGTCCCTAGTGAGCAAGCGTGCGTGAGTACTTGCAGTCAGTCTGTGTGAGCTATATGTATCACACACAATAACCTCAAGGCTTTATGAACTGTGCATATGTTCTACTTGCTGCTGAGAACACTTTTGAACCAGTGAGAACAGCCGCAGTGGAGGGAGAGGAGAAAGATGGAGGGGGAGAAGAAAGACGAAGGCAGCAATAAGATATGAAAGTTGAACGTTTGTTGAATGCAACTTGTGAGAACGTCCAAGATCATGTGAATGACGCCATCGTTTCAGGCAGTATTTAAGCGCCTTGGCATGCCATTGTGCTTATTGCATTCTGTTATGGATTGGCAAATTCGTCTATGCAGCGAGGCTGATCTTGCAATGTCAGATGATTGTGTATTCCAGCTCTGTCTGCCATTCTACACAAATTTGTACTTGCAGCACTCCCGTCTCACTGTTTTCCAACTAAGTTGGTAATGAACATGTTCAGTGTTCTAATACACATGAAGATGAAAGTCGACAGGTGATATGCAACATGCAATATACACGAGTGGGCATACTACAAGCCCCAACCTGACATTTTTATTATGTTTCTAATCCCTAATTATAATACTCAGCTTTGGTAAATTCACAGTGTGTTGTAGTAGAGTGAAGATACAGGAAGTACACAATAGTACGAAAGGGGACGACACTCAGTGCTACAAGTACACACGCTGTGTCAAGTTACGATCAAAGTCTCAAAGTACGGCACTTAGGGTGTTTTCTGATGAATAAGTGTCAATTAAAATAATACGCAGCTCAAATTTGGAGCCAAGTCATCAAGCACCTCCACAGATCTGTGTGCCACTCTTGCACTCATGCTGTATGGCCATATTTTGCACTTGGAGAGATCGCTTTATGCATGCTTCGTTGATCTGCCTATTGTCCCGCTGCACTTTGATTCGTGCCCGCAGCCAGCCGTATATGTCATTGCAGAGAAGGGTACGTGGCACATTTGCCATGATCATTGCACTGATGGGCCACTGCGCAGCTGCCGACATCATTAAGGCTGCGGTCTAATCTGTGCGAGACTTTGCAGCCCTTTGATTGTTCCCAGTCGTATTATGCAAGGCATCCAACAGAATATATGCATACTTCAGGATATTGTAGACACTGATGAGAAAATTGGATGGATAGCTAATGCTCGATCATAAGAGAGACAGCTACTCTAGTCCGTCGTGGTACCTGGCAGCGCATAAACCTGAGAAAAAATAGAAAAATAGTGCCCCCAGCGTGGCCCATACACAGCACAAATTACCGGCATTAAAGTACAGTGTGCGAGCGACAGTTCTACTTCCAGTATTGATATCTCGCATGTCAGGATCTAGACCTTGTAACCCAGATAAATTCGGCTGCTTAAGGCTCGAACATGCCCTTGATAATGTCTGCCGCTACAAAGAAGTCAGCAATCTGAATGCCATATTCTTAGAACTACAATATACCTTGCTCAGCTATCGCATATGCAACAGCTACACGCGTTGACCCAGTGTTGTAGTATTTGAGGTGCGAGGTAAACTAATCTGCCAGATGCGCATCAGCCGTGCTGCACCGAGACACCGACATGACGTGCTCACCCCATCATGCCATATTTGAATATAGCTTTCCTGTTTTAGATATGACGCACGCAGAGCACTCTTGGCTCTGGCGCTAGTTCACCCCCCGCCGTGTTTCCCTTTGTCTCAGCTTTCTCAGCGTAGATAGTATTGGTCTGAATATACTAGGAAGTAGATAACCTATAAAAGAACACAATGTATTATCCTAGTAATTTACCGTTGATTACTCGTGAATCCTCCCGCCTGCGCAATCTAATTCACAACAGGTTATGAGCCCCGCGCTCTAATCTTTGGTCACCCACCTGCCACATCCATTGGGGATCAATTCCTGCTCCCTCAAGGGTCATACCCGAGACATCACCGACAACCTCTATCTAGGCCTTCCCATCCAAGATCACCATCATGTCATCGATCAAGATTGAGGCTCTCAGAGGCGCGGAGAATTATTTCTCTTGGCAGATTCAGGTCCAGAATATTCTCACAGAGTTGAAACTTATAGGATATCCTCTTGGCACCATCACACAGCCCACAGACATGACGCTCATCGCATCCTGGACCAAGAAAGATTGATCAGCGCTTAGTAATATCCAAATCTGGTGTGCCCCCACAGTTGTCTCGCATGTTGTTACCAGTAAGACGTTGAAGGAAGCATGGGATGCTCTCACAAGCACGTATGCAAACTCAGGCATGATATCAGAGATCACCGTGTTAAGGAAACTACACAAGATAAGTTTTGTAGAAGGGGCAGATGTCGATGTGGAGATCAGACGAATGAAACAGTTGTATGCACAGAGCATGGAAATGGGAGGTACAATGACAGATGTCCAGTTTGGTCAAGTCATCCTCGCTGCACTTCCTGCTTCATAGAACTCATTTGTCAGTTCTATTCTGAGCCTATCTACCTCCGCCAGCATTGTTGGCCGCATCACTCAGCAGCAAGAGCGCCTGATTGAGCAACAGGCAGAAACCACTTCCACAGCACTTGTTGCCAAGTTCGTGCAGAAATCAAAGTTCTGCAAGGAGATCTTCTGTCACAACTGCACCAAAGAAGGTCACATCAAGGCTGAATGCCGATCAGCCAAGGCAGAGACTTCTAATGAGAAGTCTGCTGCATTACACGCCCACATGGTCGAACTCACAGACACATCCGACTCGTACACTTTCACATCAGGCGGAAGCACATTCACCTTCATGGAGAAGGGTAAAACATGGCTCGGAGACACCGCTGCCAAGCATCACATTGTGCATGACCGCACAGCATTTGTGACTTACATTGCAACACCAGGTAGCACCATCTTGGGTGTTGGCGGCGCTTGTGCCGCATTGGGCCGAGGAGATGTGCGCATCACATTCCTCACCAAAGCTGGAACCATTTCCACCACCCTGAAGAATGTTCTGCATGTGCCATCCATGCAATGCAGCTTGCTTTCACTGGGTCACATGACCAGCATGGGCATCAACTTCATTGGTGAGGGGGACAGACTGTCTCTTGTAGACGGTACCCGAATCATTGGTACCAGACGGAAAGTAAGTGATCAGTTGTATCACATGGACCTGAAGATCTGCCACCCAGTATTGTCTCCTGCAACTTCCAAGCCACGGACACTCACAGTGCACACCGCTGTCACCGAGATGCTCTCACAGACCCAGGCAGCTGCAAAATTGCTTGCGGAACCATTTGCCGCATCCGCGCCCATTTGCACATCGTCCTGTGCTGAGGCGCCTCCGCAGATCCAGACACCCATGAAATCACTCATGGAACCCACTGCCGCTCTCGCACCTGTCAAATCTGATTGCAATTGCGCTGCCCACACTCTCATCCTCCAGCAGACCCAGATACCTGCAATGCCGCTTGCAACAACTATTCCCGTGCTTGCGCTCGTCCCCGCATCAGCCTGCGCCACAAAGCACACTGATCACCGGCAACTTCATAAGACCAGCGGATCGATTGCTACCAATCTGCCAGTTGTGCACCTCTGCACTGCCGTTGTCATCTCCGGCACTCCTCCCAACACCTCTGCTACCATCCAGGTGTTCCAATACATCTCACACCCTTCGCTCGCTCATTGGACTGCTGTCCAGCACGTTCTCTACCACTCCGAGGGCACCACTACCCATGGCCTCATCTATGATCCTGGCATTAAGGGCCTGATCGGGTACTTAGACATCGATCAAGCCCAGCCCCTTTGTTTCATCTCCATCGACATTTCCGTCACCCACCGCACCTCCGAAAACAACACCGCCGATATGTTCACCAAGGCGCTCGCCCGCCCCACTTACACCTGGCAGCTCGCCCTTGCAAACATGTCTGCTCATTGAGGAGGAGTATTGTAGTATTTGAGGTGCGAGGTAGACTAACCTGCTGGATGTGCATCAGCCGTGCTGCACTGAGACACTGACATGATGCGCTCACCGCGTCATGCCATATTTGGATATGGCTTTCCTGTTTTAGATATGATGCGCGCAGAGCACTCTCGGCTCTGGTGCCGGTTCACTCCCCACCGTGTTTCCCCTCGTCTCAGCTTCCTCAATGTAGATATTATTGGTCTGAATATACTAGGAAGTAGATAACCTATAAAAGAACACAATGTATTATCCTAGTAATTTACCGTTGATTACTCGTGAATCCCCCGCCTGTGCAATCCAATTCACAACACCTAGTATCAGCCACGCACGCTCGCAACAGACAGCCTGGTATACATACACTGTGTGTGTGCAGCAATGTGCAGTGGGACAATTGACAGGTCGACAACCCTGAGATTGTTTGTGCCATGCACCCTGAGCTCGTGGTCGATGACGCCGCCCTTGTCGTGCAGTGTCATCAAGCAGGTGCTGCACGTGTACCATGTCATCCCAAAAGTTTGCTTCACGTACTCTGCACATCCCCACATTGGCATTCCAATATGGCGGGAAAAGGGGAACAGGAAACACACCTGTGAACTGCTCATCGGTTTGCACACCCAACTTCGGCGTGATCTCCCTCGCGATCATGTCCTTCAACGGCGCATGCTGCACCAGATTGCATGTGAACTTGGCGGTCTCCATGAGCACGTTGAGGTCTGCAACAGGACATTATCTGAGTAAACATGCGGCAAAAGAAAAGGACACAATGCACCAGATTCATGCTCAAAGTAGCGTGGGTCATACTCGGGATCAACCATTGGGTTGCTTGACGTGATGTGCTGCACCGAAACCATTCGTCAAGAAATGCGCTGGCTGTGGCAGGCGTCGCAAGAGACAGCTACTTACAACGTGCCCCCACAATAGCAAATGGTTCATGCAGTACAGCCATAAGAAGTACAACCGGCTCTCCTCCGCGGGCACCCCAAATGAGGTGGTGGCCAAGCCAAAGACCTCGCACCCAGGACCCGCGGAGAGCACACCAACTGGATTGCGTACTGCTTGCGTAGGCCAGCCAGAATACGTGTCGCGTCCAGCGCATCAATGTGTGCTCACACGCGCTCATAGATAGCCTGCGTGCATGCGGTGCTGGCGACTGTCTTGAGTAGTGATGTGCGGACCCGGCTTGGGCTCAAAGCCCGGGCTTGGGCTTGTGGCAATGTCGAGCTGAGCCCTGAGCCCGAGCCGAGCCTGAGCCCAGCCCAAGCTGTGGGCTTAAGCCCGGGCTTGCCAAGCTTAGGACAAGCATTTATATGCTACAAAAGTGAGCATATTTGTATGTGATAGGCTGCTATTGCATGTACCCACTGTACTGCAGCCTCTAGAGGGCATGCAATCGTGCTACAAGCCATGTTAGGACTATTGGCACATTGGGCGGTCAAATATAATGCATTATAATGCACTGTCGAGCATTTATAATGCGTTATAATGCGATTTTTAGTGATTTTTGAGTTTATAATGCAAGATAACGGACCAGATCGCATTATATTGCATTTTAATGCAATATAATCTCCGTTCCTTTTTGCCAATGACAGGGTTTGTGAAGGGGCGCCTATGGCAAATGCCAGGCGGTGGCGCACAATCGCGCCTAGTCACACTAGCAGGGACCGCCCAGTCTGGTAAGTCAATGTTTTGTCTCATATGTGTATATAAAGTTGTTCTTATCATGTTTTGAACCTAGGGTGTTGTGATATCTGAGGCGCATCAGCTGCCGCCATTCCACCTGAAGTCTCACCATGATGCGTTCCACGTCATGTGTCTTTATTTAGAAGTGATGCATCCAGAGCACTCTATGCTGGCGCTCTGTTGACCCTCGGACTTGTTTGTTCCTAGTCTCAGCTCACTAAGATACTTGTATTTGAACTGACTCGATTAGGCAGTAGTATAGCTATAAAAGAACATGTACTAATATTTATGGAATTTATCGTTGATTTTACATGAATCCCCCACCTGCGCAAAGGTATTCACAACACAGGGAACGGCAACACATTTGGTGCAACCCAAACCTGGGCTTTCGGGCTGGGCTTGGGCTTGGCTACACTCTGAGCCCGGCCTTGAGCCCACTGCCAGGCTTGGTGGGCTCACAGGCTTTGAGGCCCGGCTTGCACATCACTACTCACAGTCAATGGGTAAGATTATGGCGGAGCAAATGGAGATCGATTTATTAATGATGACGTAGTCGGAGGACTTGTAGGTGATACCTCTGATCCTGGCAGACATAGCAGTGCTTTGGATAGGCCTGTCGTACCGAAGGAGTGATGCAAGAGTCACGGATAAGAGTAAGACTATATCCTATGGGAGCTAAAACGAGTAGTGTCTGTGTTAAGAAGATGAAGCAGCCACCAATGCATGCACAACATGTGTTATATACATCAAAAACAGTCCAAGGGAAGTGCTGTGTGAGCTCAACCCTGTTCAAGTTCAACAGTACCATTGGCGTTAATCGGCCAGCAGGTAGACTGTTTCAAACTCCACAATGGTGCTAGCATGCTCTTGCTAAGAGCCTGAGGGAGAGCAGTAGCATATATGCTTTCGATGCAATGCCATGTAACTCTAGGATATATTAAAATACATTTTACTATCTCACATTGCCGGAAACTGCTATAGGTGCATTACAAAGGTATGTGTTATATATATATATATAAAACAGGGGTATCAGTCATGAGGCTGCCACTAGAGTGCTAGATTATATTGGGCCATCGAAGCCTCGCACTGGTGGCAAAATATGCATGACTCCTACATGTCTGCTACAGCTTAATATCAAAGCCACAATTTGTCAATGAAGCCCATTCGTCAGCCTAACGTGGATGTCTAACTTTACACAGATTGTATAAATGATGCGGGGATGCAAACTCGAAGCACCTATTGCCGCTTACATTAGTTAGAGACTTGCGATCTTTGTTCCCCTGCTTGCTGAGATACAGCAGACAATCACGAGCCTGTGCGGAAGTGACAGGTATGTTGCTAACACTTTGTCAGCTACGGATGTACTTCACCAGGATCCTCTCGCCCGCAGATGGTATACTTATAGGATAGCTGTTGAAGTTAAGTCACACTTCTACGATGGCCAGGTAGCTCAGTTGGAAGAGCAACCCAGCACAATTGGGGAAGGCCCCAGGTTTGATCCCTGGTCTGGCCAGTTTTACTGTTCAACAGGTTATGAGCTCTGCCAATGTATCTTTGTTGTATGCCTTGTCACACAAGGGTCCAGAGTGTACAGCGTGTCCTGTAGAACTGCAGTCCCAGGTCCTCTGCATGAACAGTTCAAAGCTGGCCACCTGAGTCATGTTACTTAGGGGGAGTGTCGAAGTTAAGTCACACTTCTACAATGGCCGGGTAGCTCAGTTGGAAGAGCAACCCAGCACAATTGGGGAAGGCCTCGGGTTTGATCTCTGGTCTGGCCAGTTTTACTGTTCAACAGTAGCCATGTGAGACAGGATTGCATCTATTAAACTGTGGCATATGACAGCCCCACCCCGATAGCAGGACTTGCTACATTCTCTAAGAGCATAAGATGTACAGTGGCCACTAAAAATAATGCACAATACTATAAGGGGGGTCAAAATCCCCCTTGTATCTCCATGACTGCTGTAGCTAGCTAGATGATGTATATATCAATCTCACACTAGGTTACTTGTAGCATCTTTCTGAGGTGTCAGTTTGACCCAAGCACTAGGTGCCAGAAAAAATGTGGTGAAAATGGCTAGAAAATGAATATATATTGCGAAAATCACAGAATAATATAGACCACAGAGTAAAATATGCTTGGGTCCAAGTAAAATTCTATACTATGTGATGCTACTGTAACAAATTTATAGTATAGCACCCAGTTCAGATGGCTGAGCTGTGAAGACAGTTACACTGATATGATTTATTCATAGAATTGAAATATTTATATCTCCACAGCACCCAGGAATAAAGGTACAAGACTCGGTGTACAGGATGATATTTACTAGAAAATGCATGTAGTATCTTGCTATACACACCCCAGCTGTTGGTGATGTCAATAAGATACAAGCATACATTTCTTTATTTTGTAGTGAATAAATATGTCCTCACAACTCAGCCATCTGAACTGGGTGCTATACTATAAATTTGTTAGAGTAGCATCACATAGCATAAAATTTTACTTGGACCCAAGCATATTTTACTCTGTGGTCTATATTATTCTGTGATTTTCGCAATATATATTCATTTTCTAGCCATTTTCACCACATTTTTTCTGGCACCTAGTGCTTGCATCAAACTGACACCTCAGAAAGATGCTACAAGTAACCTAGTGTGATATTGATATATACATCATCTAGCTAGCTACAGCGGTCATGGAGATACAGGGAGATTTTGACACCCCTTTGTAGTCCTGTGTGTTATTTTTGGTGGCCACTGTATTTACTGATAGTTTTTATTGACAGTTGACGGTTATATAAGACTCGCGCCCTTGCAAATTCTAATCTAAACGCCTGAGCAGGGTTTGAAAATGCTGATAATCTGCTCGCCAATTAATGCCAAATCCATTTCTGGAGGAGTCTGCTCTTCCCGCCTTCATTAGTTAGACTGGATGAGTCAATAATCATGAGTAGAGCCGCAAGTGGCAATGGTCTGCTACCTTGTGACACAGTACATGAATGCTGATCACCAAGATGATATCATACATGTGGAATGATTTAAACATGCTGCTGGTAGAGGAAGAACATACTTGCGTAGTTGGCAAGAGCTGTTACACTCCATTCATTGCTACCTTGCCCAGCCTGCCCTGTGATTCTCTATTCCTCTCTCCATGCACTGGCTCCTCTTTTGCGCCTCCTATCTTCTTCTGTGACAGCTAGTTGATGTCAACAAGCTGGTAATGGTAAGAGTATGTGTGCTTTGTAATCTCACACAAAGTTTTCGACACGCTACAATGCTCCAGGGTCATTGATAGCTGTACAAATATATTTACACATGTGTTATGGAGTATATGACGGAATTATACACAGCGACATACAAATTCACAGGCAAGAAAGAGAGTGGTTAGACAACGCAGGATACAATCAACTCTTTCTTAATCTTTGCCCAAATGCAACGTGCATCTAGAATGTTTAACCTGACGTCTTTCATGAGGAGACCCATTTGCTCAGTTTTGGACAAAGAGCTAAACCCTAGAAGAGCACTTCCATCAGTTAGTCCTGCTTTGATGAGACAGTCTGTTGAAGTGCCTAGTGGCTCCGGCTCGGCGTTCCGCCCAGCATGGACTCAAGGTGGACATCTTGGATTAGGCGCTGCTAATACGTAGATAGTGATTGGACAATTGTATATAGTGTTCCCATGCACAGACATCTTTATGGCAGGCTTCCCATTCTAGCAGACTTTCAATTTTGCCTCCTTTTAGTATTTAAGAACTCCTCCCTACATCTCCACTCTGCGTGCTCTTTCCCTTTGCACTCAAAGTCTCTTTCATTGCCCTTGCATTATGATGTATGCTTACCACTCGCTGTGTAGCTAATCCTCGTGTGTATTAGATATATAGTTATACAGCATACTCTTTCCCTTCACACTCAGACTAATCCCTGTGTGTATTAGATCGTGCCTGTGTGCTCCTGTCAGTTTGTGCTCGCGCAACCCAGTCGTCGTATCATGACAATAGGTTATGAGCCCCAGCTTGTAACTGGCTCCCATTCCCACTACCCACACACAATGCTCTTTGTTACAAGTGGTACTATAAGCCCGTGAGTTTACTTGGGGTTTTAGCTCATTGTACCAGCCACACACCCCTCACTCTCACATCACACACATACAACTAAAGTCAAACTCTAGTGCATGTCTGGTCCGTCAGGCTCTGCCTCATGTCCACCTTCACCAACTGTACTGACATCTGCAACATGTCCTACATGTTCTACCAGTTGCACTCCTACTGCTCCCACTACACCATCTCAGTCTGCATTATCTGCACCCCGCTGCATGACAACAATGTTCTCCGCCTCTGCATTTGCATCAGCCACCAGTCTGCCATCAATGAAACTTGATGCGATCGAGAAGCTCAAAGGCTCCAGCGACTACCCCTGCTGGTCTCTGATGATGCAGCAGTACTTCATTGCTGCGCATGCATGAAAGGTCGTCAACAGCACTGAGACCATCCCTGTCCAAAGCAGCACAGTCTCCACTGCAGATGTTGAAGCATGGGAGACCACCAATGCATACACAATGTTTTATATCCTCAGCACACTCAGTAACAAACTCCTGCACCTTGCAAACTCTGTGGACATCACAGCTGCTGCGCTGTGGAAAAAGCTCAAGGACAACTATGCTGCCTCCACCACGGTGTCAGCATTTGTCAAGTTCCATGCATACTTCTCACACACCATCACGGACAGTGATGACCTCACTACCCAACTTGATGAATGCACCTGACTCTGGCAAGAGGTCAGCACCTTTGAGATCCTCCAAACCCCAGAGCTCTCGCAGATCTTTGGTCTGCTTACAGCCCTCCCTGACTTGTTCAACAATGTTGTGGAGTCCATCCTTGCAGTCACCAAGCCTGCCGACTTGAAGCTCAATGACATCCACAACTGTCTCCTTGACAAAGTGAAACATCGCAGCTCCTCTATCAATGTCGCTGCCTTTCACGCACCAAAAACATCCACTTCAGGCAAAGCCAAGTCTGGCAAACCCAATGGCAAGAAGGGCAAGTGCAACTTCCACCACTACAAAGGCCACTATGAGCAGGATTGTAGGAAGAAAAAGGCCGCTGCCAATGAGGCGCGGAAAGGCAGTAATGGCAAAGCCCAGGATGATAGAAGTAATCCATCCAATAGTAGTACTGGTTCCCCATCTGTACATGTAGTCACTGCCACTGAGGGAGCCGCTGCTCCTGAGGCCAAAATTCACTCCACTTCCTGGTATCTCCACAGTGTGAAATGCTGGATGTTAGACTCTGGCTGTACATGACACATAACAAACAACCTGAATGACTTCACTGAGTACACCGCCTTTGTGTCACCTACATATGCAACACTAGCAGACAAGGCAAAAATGCAAGTAAGCATGCTTGGTTCAGGTGTTGTCAAGGGCACAACACTCATTGATAACAAACCAGTAAACATCAGGCTAGAGAACGTACTCTACAGCCCTGCAATGTTCGGACAGCTAATATCCATCTCATGCATTGAAGACAAAGGCTTTGATCTCATCTTTGGGAAAGGATGAGCCAAAATCATGCATGGTTGTACTATGTATAGCATAGGCACTAAGTCCCACGGTCAGTATTAGTTGGACCTTACATCACCTCCACCATCTGTCGCGGTCTCCATGCACAACGCCACTTTGCTCAACGTTATCCACCATCAGTTTGGTCATCTGAACTGGGAGGCAGTATGGAAGCTCGCCGCTGCCAATTCCTCTCTGGTCAAAGGCCTCATTGCCGCCAATATGGACAAACCTTCGCATCCCTGTGAAGGCTGCATCTTGGGCAAAGCACACAGGCGTACATTCCCCACCTCGTCCACTTCACACACCAACAAACCCTTCGACCTCTTTCACTCTGACTTTGATGGACCTATGTTGATGGTGTCCCTTACAGGCCACCAATACTTTGCTACCTTCATTGATGACTGCTCCGACATCACCTGGGTCTACTATCTGCGAACAAAGGATGAGTTCCTCTCTGCATTCAAAGATTTTGTCAGTCTTTGCTGTAAGAACAATGCATAACTGTACTGTTATGACTCTGTGCTCTATTGCATTAAAACAGGGCTACAGCTCTGTGCTGTAATGCATTACTCTCTTGCCAGCCAGGAGACTTAGCACTAAACATGGCCACAGCTCTGCACTGTAATGTATTACACTTCACTTGGTGTCATGCAATAAATTACTTATCCAGCTCTCCTAATATGGTATTTATAGCTAGATTTTAGATCTCACCCACATCAATTCTGCGCCGCTGCTTGTAGGACCCATAGTTCCGGAGTCCTTTCACTCATAAACCATTTGAAGTTGATTATATAAGCAGACCTCTGGTGTCTTAGCACAAATGGAGTTGAAGTCATCAATTCACGCATTATACACACAGCCCAAAGCTCATAGCCATGTAAAATAAATTGCAGTATATATATTACAACTTTAGCTCCATGTATGCAATGACAGCCTCACTTTCCTCAAGCTCCAATACTCCGTTGTCGTCATCGTCTTCATCATCCTCAATACCTTTGGCGTCTATATCAGGCACGGCATCAAGGAAGGAAAATATTGGGCCCTTGAGTGGGTCACAGCTGTTGGCAGTGCCAGTGGGGTCTGTATTGGTACTGTGCATACCTGGAAGCCATTTCATCTTCTGGCATGCGAGGTCTGCTTATTGTGCCAGGCTGCAACAAACAGATGCCTGCCAAGCTGCGTATGCTGCAAGTCCTTCTTGTAGTGTGGTACTTGTGTCTAGTCTGAGATTTCCATGTTAACTCCACCACTCAGCCTTCCAGAGATGGTATTGGACCGTTCTGCGCAATTCCTCAGGCAGTAGAAGAAGTTCTTCTCACCACCACATGCAGCAAGCGCAAGCCTTCATCCACTCAATGTGCACACCTGTACAAGATATGAATGTACTGCCACTTGGTAGTAACCTATTACTTACCTGAGTCGATACCTTCACTGTTCATCTTATCGGTGCTGCGCCAGATCCACGATACCTTGCGTGAGCCCTTGGCAACGTGCTTCTTCTTTGGCTTTTGCATCTTCTTTTTCTTCTGCGCAGTTTTCAGATCATCCACATCAAAAGTACAAATGTCGTTGTGCAGAAGTAGTGGGAACTCAGCATCATACTCCACCCACTTATCCCAGCTGCCAACAAGGGAATGGAGTGTGTCCTGTGCAGCCCAATACTTTTTGGCTGCACGCTGCAGTCAATCTTCAATATTGTTGAGTGCATTGTTGGCACACATATTCCGGTCTTGACTGTGGACATTGAGTCACTTGTACTGTCAGAAGCAGGACCACATATGAAGCTTTGTGTGTAAATCTTCAAGCGCATTATTGCACTACGCCCATTGTAGCAGCAACTCTGCAGACATCAGGTCAAATGCAAAGCTGTTGAGTAGTGCCTGCCTTCACCTACACTGTTGGGTCACTTGTGCAGGATCCATCTCTTGGACATCTTTGCGCTCTACTCTGAGAACATCAAAGGGAAGGAAGAGGTGGACATCTCCTGCAAGCTCGATAGGGGCTTTTATGGCAGCAGCACTGGTTGTAGGGGCTTCTGATATCAATAGGCTATCATCTGGGGTAAGAACAAGTGAGGTCTCCCAGACTGAACAGCTGGTGTCGAGACTGCTCGCAGAAGGAATAGTGATGCGATCAAGGCAGCTCGGACCAACTGGCGATGCAGGGGAAATGGGGATGGTATCATCAGAACCAGATGTAGAGCCAGCTGCAAAGACAGCGGCTTGAGACAAGAGTAGCTTGGGGACAACAGGCATGTAGACAGATTGGATTTCCCGAAATTGGGCAATGCATCTAGCAAGTGCTGTTCAGCTCTCAAAAACCTTTGTCGCTGTCGCCGATCATTCACATGCTGCCTCCCGGCAAAGGGCACGTCTGCAGGTAGGCAATCAGTCCCACCAGTACCATGCATCTCACAATATGATACTCACTGTGCTTGCTCAAGCTCCAGGCCAATGGTGAGTAGCAATGACGGCAACATGTCATGCAGGGTGGCTTTCTTCCCAGTGCGTACTTTCTCTTCTTCCTGCTGTGCTAGAATACGACGGACCTGCGGTTCTGTAAGGGCTATCGCTCTATAAATACAGAGCTGTGTGAGATGGTGAACACTGCTCACCTAGTAATTTGACTGGCTCAGCTTCAAGCCAGCAAGCGAGCCAAGCCAAGCCAAGCCAAGCCAAAGGGTGCCAGCTTGAACAGGCTTTTGGCTTGGCTTGCATGTCAAGCCAGCCAAGCCAAGCTGGCAAGCTGCGGCTTTGGATAATAAATGTACTGTATTCAGTACTACTGTTAGAGTAATCAGCAATAAATCCCTCAAATATTATACTGTACTCTCCTGTACTGTATCTATTTTCTAATTTACATAAATCAATCAACTTTTGCTAAGACTGAGCCTTGACAAGAGAAAACATAGCAGGGCACATAGCGGGGTGCCAGTGCTCAAAACAATGATGTCATTGGGTGGTAGCTTTCATCAGTGCCTCTGTTGAAATTTACCACTCTATGACATCATTAAAAACTTGGTCAGCACGTCAATAAATATATACCTTTCCCTGTTGTAATGAAACGCGAAAATGAAAGTTGCTCTACTAAGTATAAACCGATGTCACGGTCACCAAGTGACAAGTTGTGTTCAGGACACTTCGGGCTGTCCCATGTCCATGTGTCTGCCAGCCGCGAATGCTAATTACGCGTTCACTGACTGTAGTTCTGCCTAGATTCCATGCCAACAACAACAACATAGCTCTACATAATTCAGTTACAATGGTTACATGAGCTGTGAAGCACACTATATGACAAAGATGCAGTTGACTTAGATCAACTATAAGCTGGCCAGAAGTAAAATCAAATCAAATAGAGCAGAATTTGCTAGCTAAAATAAAAAATGGAAACATCAGACACATTTACATCTAAACTAAAGCTTGTGCAGCTTGCATATCAGTCTTATTCTATATTACTTACCAATATAGTGAATATAGCCTACAAACATAATGAGGTAGTATTTTCAGTTTGTATGCTGCACTATATATAGCCTTAATTCAGCCAGTATACTTTTAGCCAGCACATCTGGCCAGTGTTTTTGGCTTGCACATATTTTTGGCCAGCATATGTACCTGGCCAGTGTAAGTGGTCCTTGGCTAGCACATGTATCTGGCCAGTCTAAGTGGTTCTGGCCAGCACATGCTTCTGGCCAGTGTGTGTTTAAAGCCAACATATATTTTTGGCTAATTATTTTTATTTAGTGTGCATTCTCAATTAATATTTATCTTTGATTGATATGTGATTAAATCAGTGAACATCTTTAGCTAGTGTGTATCTGTAATCAATACATAGCTGCTACTATCAATACTGTCTGTTTCAAGTTTTACACATATAAAGCCAATACATTTTGACCACTAGTATAGTTAATTAAAAGACCAACACTAATACTACTTGTTCACAGACATGAAAGGTGCTGCACCATTAGTTAAAAGGCTGTTACTATTGCTACTGTTAGCTGCAATGACATTGTCAGATGTGAGTTTCTGGCAAGTTGCTTTGATAGCAAAAATCTAGCAACAAAAGCTTAGAACTAGCTGCTTTTGAGCAAGCAGTTAAATCCAGCATCTTAAATTGTATATATGGCTAGAAATTACAAAGTGCATGGAAACCAAGCCAACACAGATTGTGCCAGTTTAGAGATCTGACTACAATTGAATTAGTATGTAGGCCAGATCAGTATAATTTAGTCTAGAATAGACAATAGCTTTTGTTACAAGCTGCAATAATATTTGGTGCATGTTTCATATAACATTTGTAAATCTGGCCAGATACCAGATGTTCCATATTTTATGGCTTTTTGTCATGTCTATTTGGACAAAATGTATGAAAACTGCTACTGAATGCATTGTGTCCCACGATTATTGGTGTGCAGCCTAGTGCTACTATGGACCCTGCAGCAAAGAAGGTTAGCAACATGTCGAAGGAGGAAAAGAAGAAGAAGAGGAAAGAGCAGGCAGATCGGCATGACAAGATGCAAAGTGACATTGCCACCTTCTTCGCATATGCTGACAACTATGCTGGGGAGCTTGGAAAGAAGTACAGCAAGGACGCCTGATATTTCAAAGACAAGTTCTTCAATGCAAGCAAGAAGCATCTATCCGGAAACAAGATTAGCTCATATAACACATGGCTGCACTTTAAATGCAGAGACGTGAACCAGCATGAGTATTCACCATCATGTGGCCTGTTTACTGTAGCTGACCATGGCTTTTCTCACCTGTAGAACATGCTACAGAGGGTTTGCATTCGCTGACAATGGGGGAAATCTGAGATGAGTACCTTGCAGAGTATCATGCACTAAGCGACAAGGAAAAAACTAAGTGCATCTATGACTATGAGCTGATGCACAAATTCAAGAAGCGCATTGGGCGTACCACCTCACAGGGAAAGATTCAAGATTTCTCCCATACCACTGCAATTCTGGAAGAAATTGTGAGTGCTCTTGAGCGAGTCTGAAGCAGCCAGGTTGAGCATACTGACTTTGGTCGATTAGATCCTTGATCTTGACAACCGCATTGGAGTGAAGGGTTTCTTCTGCCTTGTGCGTAGCATCACGGAATCTGCGATCAAGCTGCGTTGGTGGTTTAGCTCTGCTGATCTCAAACGCTTCTTGTCCATTGGCTGGCACAAATGGTGTGATAGTAAGCAGATTGGGATGATGGTTGAGGCATTCACAATTGCTGGCAGTTTTGTATTGGGTGCATCACAATACCATACTGGCACTAATGCAGCCACTCGGGCTAACAGCTTGATAGGTGTTCTGCGGACAAACAAGCTCAACGCTGAATTTACCAAAGCACAGATTTGGGATAAGATGAAAGACTTACTAGGTCAATCCCAGCTTACTATCACCTATATCCTAGTTACTGACTCTCGTGCATCCAGCCGATATTACCAAAAACACTTCAGCAGGCATGGAGTACGTCAACTATGAGACACAGATTATTCAGCGCTATGGAGTTGTGCTTGTCAGCTGGCCCAAGGACCTTTCGTTTGTCAATCCCAGTGACCTGACTAACAATCTTACCACTCTTGAGCTGCTGCTTCAAGCTTTGAACAATGGCACTTGCCACTTCATCTGTCCCACTGATGCCAAGCTCTCTCAGAGGAAAGCAGCCTGGCTTGCCGGTATAGCCAATGGCACTGTTGAAGCCCCCAAGCAAAGGAAGAAGCGCAGCAATGCTGGTAAACCGTGAGGTTCGCGCAAGACTGCCACTGGCAAGCAGAAGGCCCCTGAGTCAGCTGTGCCTGGTTCTGGGTCTTCCGATGGTGAGGAGTCTGAATCAAGCTCAGAGGGTGAGATGGAAGGTGTTGCTAGAGTGCAGAAGCGCAAGCGTGCATAGCCGTGACTGAATGCAGATGGTAGAGGGAGAAGAAGTTGAACGGAGGATGACCACAGGCTTCTCATCACAGCGTCCATTCCTCATCATCATCTCCCATGCCTGTCATAGCATTTCTGAATGAGTTTCTGAATTTCAAAGCAAAATACATGTGTTCATTGCTCAAGGATGTCTACCAGGAATGTGTGCAAGAGAAAAGAACACCAATACAGCTATAGAAGGAGCCACAGGGCCGAGAACACAGTCCACAATGATAAGTGAACAATTGATGGAATATCAGCACCGGCAAGTGCTCAAGAGAGTGGCTAGAGGTGAGCAGAAATCACCAGAACAGGCCAGAAGAATGGCACGAGAGTCAGCATCGGGGCACGGGGACTGCCGGGGGTTGGGATCACTGGAATAGGCAAGGAGAGGGGTGAACAAGGGGTGAGCAAGGGGCGAGCAAGGGACGAAGTGGAAGCTGACGTCAGGGGCACGGGAAGTGCCGGGGCAGCTCTTGATCTGGTCACTTGGGCAGAATATCCTGAGATCGCTTTCAATGGGCAGGCAAAACAGCCAGTTTCACCTCAGATCTGAGGGCTTATCACATCATATCATCACCTCTAATCTGAAGCAGACTGTGGGCTCGATAGGTGGATCAGAGCCAAGAGAGCAATGCTGGCTTAAGGGTGATTGCGCCATCAGTTTAGGGCCAGCGCCAAATGACTTCAGGAAAGTCGCACGTCGCATGCAAGCACCCATGCTGGACAATGAACCCACCTGGAAACCTTGAAATCAAACAGACATTTGTGGTGGATAATGGAACAATGCTGGAGGAAGGCAAAATAAAGAGATGAGACACAGGGTTGAATCAATGTCTCATTGATGTGGGAGCATGGCTCAATCCAAGGTTGAATCTACACGTGCTTCGCCAACATCAGACTGACTGCCTGGCTTATCCCATGGTGTAAGCTCATAAGCACCCAAGTGGCTAAGACATGCTCAAAAGTTTCCGAAAAGCCCAAAAAATGGCACAAGCAGGAATTGAACCCACAGCCTAAAAGTAACTGCAGCACACCATACCACTAAGGCATAAGACCTTGTAAATGTAAGGTCGGAATTGCTCTATAATACCACTTTTATGCCTTGAAGTCTCCTACATTTTAGTCAATGATTTACATATTAAAGCAGTGGAATGTAATTGTACAAAGGTATATTCTAATGCTATGGCTAAAACACTCGTGTGGCTGAGACATGGAGACATTGAATATTTGCTATTGATCCCACTTGAGTTATTAAGTATAATTTATCTGCTCAGGTGTCTTAGCCACGTGGGTGTCTTAACCATAACATCAGAATATACCTTTGTACAATTACATTCCACTGCTTTAATATGTAAATCATTGACTAAAATGTAGGAGACTTCAAGGCATAAAAGTGGTATTATATGGCAATTCCGACCTTACATTTACAAGGTCTTATGTCTTAGTGGTATGGTGCGCTGCAGTTACTTTCAGGCTGCGGGTTCAATTCCTGCTTGTGCCATTTTTTGGGCTTCTCAGAAACTCTTGAGCGTGTCTTAGCCACTTGGGCGCTTATGAGCGGCTAGTTCGTGTGTCTGTGCCGCCGAACTGAATCAGCTCGACCGTTTGATGTACGCGCGCAGCAGTCGCGCAGCGCATGGTAGCCTATGGTAGCAGCTTTATGCGGGGTAAAGATCATGAGAAGAGCTGCGAAGCACTGATTTGCGAGGGCCTCAACTTCGAGAACCGCGGTGCGTTCAAACCGGCATCGCGCAGTCGCAGTACAACACGCAAATTAGTGCTTCTCGTTATTTTCTCGCCAGACGTATCACGAACGTTCCGGTGGTCTCAACAGGCAAACTGTACAGGACTATGCGAATGCTCAGTTTACTACTTCTTTCCCCACCACTGCTGCAGAAACTCGGGAACTCCTACAGGTTGCACCTGAGGGAAAAGCTCGTTGAGGTTCTGACCCTCATACCCCATCGGGTTGCTCCTCAAGGTCTGCAAAAACGACTGGGCCTTGATCTTCTCCATGTCAAGCGCAGCGAACCTCTCGTCGGGGTGTTTAAGCGTTCCCGGGCTGCTCGAGTTGATGGTCTCCAGTAGTCGCTGCTCAGATAAGTACGTCACATCGAATTTCTGGCCTGTGAGGGAGACAATCAGCCGCCGATCTTACGCGCCGCGATAAAGCCTGCCGAGCTCACCTCGGACCTGCTCGGCCAGCTGCACAATCTCGTTCAGCTTCCTCCTGTCTCCCCTGATCTGGCTGAACTCGGGCCACTTGTCCAAGTCCAAGCTCGCCGCGACGAACTTCCCCATGTCCTCCGCCCGCGTGTGCACAAAGTACGCAGAACCGTCCTCGGGGAGCGTCGCCTTGCAGTGTTCGACGTCGAATATCAGCGTGAGCGGGTCCAGGTGCCCGAGGCCCGGCGTGCCGCTCGCGAGGTAGTTCATGAACATGCCGACCTCGTAGATCGTGTACTCGAGCCCACTCCTCTTCACTGCCTCCGTGACGGGCCACTTGGCTCGGTAAATCTCGATGGGGTTGTCGGCGACTGAGCGCACGGCGAACTCGCTCGGCGCGAAGCGCGTCACGCCAGCTTTGACGGCCGCATCGAGCAGTGCGAGCTGCGCGTCCGTGAAGGCGTCCGCACCGGCGCCGGCGATGGTCGAGATGACGGTGTGCACGCCGTCGAGGGCCTTGACGAGCGTGGCCGGGTCGTCGTAGGAGACGGCGATGATGGGCACGCCGAGTTTGTCGAGGACGGGGTGGCTCGGGCGGCGGGAGAGGACGATGACATCGTGGTTGCCGGCCTCGACGATGGCCTCGACGATGTGGAGGCCGATACCACCGGTGCCTCCTGCGACTGCGACTTTGACCATTGTTGTGAGTGTGTGATAGTGAAGCGGTGTGTAGAAGCTTTACAATGTAATGCTCTTCTTCCATCCTAGGTGCCCCTGCCTTTATACTAATCTCCATCGCAGACATAATGGTGTGCTGGACAGCGCCTTCGCGCCTTCGCTGACTCATAGCTCGGCTGTGCCGTGGTACACGTACGCTTGTCTTGCCTTTCTGTCGGCCCCCGACCCCATTGCTGGCAAGCCCAACACGGGTCGTCCCATCCAGTGTTGTCATTGACGGGTCAGTCGGAAAGATCCGAGACGGAGCACGCTTAGTCATACTGTAGCCGCTCATGAAACGGACCACCCTAGCACTAATTCGGCGATAGCTACAGTTAGACACTTTAGTAAACAAAAGTTTTATGCTGAAAGGATAGGCAGATATGTAAGGTATATGGGAATCCATATTTTGTATTTTTACCAGTGCGCACGCCAAGTTATGGATATTTTTAACAGCGAAGTCGTGCTGACCAGCTAGACCACGAAGCGGATCACTGGCCGTAGATTAAGCGCCCTCCCGCTGTCGAAGGGTGCGGGTCATCGAGCGAGGCGGTCGCGAGCGGTGTATGGCCAGCAGTAGTCACTTTCTATAGCTTGTAGAGACTCAAGAATGATTATATTCACTAATGAAGGGGTACATAGGTTGTGATTATCATCTATATGCACGACAGGCCCTTGCACAGAAGCTTGTGCACCAATGTGTGGAAATCTTCGACCAGAAGAGATGAGGGGAAGAAATGATGTTGAAATGAGCTCGAGGTGATCACAATTCACATGTTCATGGCTGAAGCTGCGTCTACCAGTTATCAGTACTCAACCGGTGTTCAGGTATTGTGTACTCACCTGATAGCCATGCAACCTCCTCTGCCTGTATCCCTCTCCTTTCGTCCCTACAGCCATAAACTAACTTATTCCTCATTATCTCACCTCCCCATGGAATGCTGGAATGATTTACAGCATGCTTCTCTTGTTAGGACATCTGTTGGCTGGGAAATGGAGGTGGTACTCAACGAGGCTGCGAAACTGCTATTGGCATGTTCAGGCTGCTTGTAGTAGACAAAAAATATGTAAATTAGCACATTATCGTAGCATCAAACCAACATCGATAAAGTATACATACACAGAGTTTGGGGGCGGTAGGTCTGACAGCTGCCTTCAAGTAGCGTTACTTTGCGGGTAGGTAAACGGGGCCTGCAGGTCCAGGGAACCAAAATGCACGTGTTCCAGGCCACTTATTAAGCCACGCAAGGCTCTCAAGCTGCCTGAGAGTCATGCAACATGGTGATAAGGTCTATTTTGGCCAATTTCCTCGAGCACAATGTGAGCGTTGTGGGCGATATAGCTGCTAGACCGTTGCGGCTGGACATGAGCAGAGTTCCAAAATAGGCAGTTTACTGATATGCGCTGTGTCTTTTGCTTACACCTCCCTCAATTCTCAACGGGACTTCACAAAACATTGAGTAAAGCAAGATAGCATGTATTTCAACCTTTTTAGGTAATAAAAATTATATTAAAGGCCATTAACGGTAGTGCTGGTGCTCGAGAACCAGTAGGTGGTCCGTTGCCTGGTCGGTCCGTTCCTGATCGGGTACAGTAGAGCATGAAGCAGGTCATAAATTGCCAATTCCTCCTCCAG